CTCAATGAATCAAAGTCTCTCATGCCTGAATTAGCTTGACCAATTTCATTAGCCAACTCACACCCGTTAATCTCATTAATTTGCGTCAGTGTCAGAGAATCCCATATGGTCCATAGTTTCTAAATATGTTGCTCTTCCTCTCACAGAGTAGCTTACATACTTGAGAAAGCTGGTTGAACAATTGTAAGTACATCTGGAATAAAAATCATTTTAGTGTTCTTGTTCACAGTATCTCTACCTTTAATATCTTTCTGAGAAATTTCCCATCCTTCCTTGAGTGCTTGCACTTTGGACTAATGAAGAATTAATAGAAAATCTGTTGTATGAGAAAACAAAATACAGCATTTTTAAGGCTTTCTTTTCCATCTAAAAATGTAATACACCAAAACGAGTCATAGATTTTATTACAGCCAGATGTCACTGTTAATATTTCTATTAAGATGCAGTCGAATAATTTATTTAAAAGACAGTAAATGGTTTCTCAAATATGTAAATAATAAATTCTCTCAGAGAGAATTTGCCTGGCTCACTAGGTTGTGAGAACAAAATGTGATAATAGATATGAATAGCTATGAAAACCACAGAGGACAGAGCATTCTCCAGTAGAAAGAGGTTATTGTTATGCGTGCACTATAATACAAATAGTACAAAAGGAGATACGGCTGTATTTTAAGTGTTTCCATAATGTTCATCATTATCATCATTATTATCATTATCTTCAAAAAGTTTTCATTAAGGTTATCAATCTTATATGTCTAGATTTCCATTTATCATGGAATGAGGTCATAGATTAGGATAACAATGCTAGAAATACATAAGAAAAGTTCTGAAGAGTACTCGTGCCACATCATCCACTTCCAAATCTAACACACAAGCAGAAATGCTTTTTCACGGAATTACTTCTTGCAAATAGGGTAAATTACTGCTTTAATTTAGAACCGTGATGTGATTTTTAGTCGATACTTAGTGGAAACAGAGTGGGAGTTGTGTAGAGCAAAGATCTCACTGCATGTGTATAGTTCTCACTCTGCAGGAAACAAAACAGTTTCCAGAGAAGGGAGAAGGTCTACGCACACACACACACACATGCATGCAGACACACACACTTACTTAAACCTATGCAGAGATTACTCATGTTTACGCTCTTTTCTCCTTTTGACTCTCCATTGTTTACTTACCACAAACTTGTGTTTTCATTATAGTATTAAGAGTATTGTTTTGCCATTATAACCCTTTGACTTTATAAGAATAGGTTTTTCTCCATCACATGTTAAAACTCTTTTGAAGAAAAAGTGGAATAAGGATTTTGCCCCCTGGTCTCTTTGTGAGGAAATCCTTTGTCCCACTTGTGAAGATCTGGAAGCTAATGACTATTGGGCATGAATATTGAAACAATGTATTCTGTTGCTGAGTGTGCTCATCACAATGGCAAAGTCTACATTAACTTGTCTTTGGCTAGTTATTAATTTTCCCACTTTGGTTGAATTACAAATAAGAACTGGACACCAAGACTTGCAATGGATCACAGACAACTGATTATTTTCATGGTCAATGGGGTCCTTCTGCCTACAAGGTCTTTTTTTCATAACCATCTCTTTTAAAATAGAAATGCTTATGAAAATGAATGTGGACACTCAAAGTAATTTGGAAGTATGATATTAATTCTTAAATAACAACAGTTTTGAGGATAATATATTTGTTTAGCATGTTACAGCTTCTAAAGAGGCTTCACCATAATTTTCCCAAGTAATGTTCATAATAAGCTAGTAAATGCTATTATTTTTATTTTTAAAATGAGGCATCTGAGATACAGGGGATAAAGTTACTCATGATTACATAGCTCTACATGTGGTAGATCTTAGAATCAATGTATTTGCAATCAAAGGCCCAGAGTCTGCCTCTGAGTTCTGCCCAGAGTTCATTTTTCTTCCAAAAAGATGTTATGTTAAGAAATTGAAGACGATGCAAATGAGAATAGTTGCAGGGGACAAGGGAATTGTATAGAATCCTGTGCATTTTCTTTTTGGTTAAATGTAGGTAAAGTGGAAGGAGCTTTTAGACCTTTAAGGTGTGTGTGATTAATATTGTGTGATTGATAGTGAAGAGCTAATGGATAAGAAAGGATGGCTTTGAATTATTGCACAATGCCTTCTGAGTAAACAGTGTAAGTATTCTCCACTGTAATGGTTAAAGGACACTGGAACTCATTATCCAGAATGAATATTGTCTTATATTTTGGAGTTTTCAGAAATGCATATAGATCCATACAATGTTCTAAATAAAGTACGGTTTGTCCAGATGTAAGCCATGATGTGATTAGTGGTCTATGCAACAATGGTAGTACATAGAAGATGTGCAGAAGTTATCCAGTGTTTTCTTAACCGCTGCTAAAGCATTCACAGTCACTGCTGACAGATAAATATCCTTGAAAAGAAGAAGTGATTTTTCTGTTTTTATTATATTGGGACTCACATCTTAAAGTCTATGATTTTACTGGTATCATTTTTTTAATGGACAATTACACTTTGAATTAATAGAACTCTTTAAAAACAGAAAACTAAAACTCTTAAGATAATTATTATGGTTCCTCTCTAGTAGCTTCATCTATTTATTGAGCCCAAATATTCCTGTCTCTTACTGCCAAGGGAAATCTGGGTGGGAAAAAGAAAAATACAGACGGGATGTCCTAAGTGTTATCTTTTATAGGAGGTGAGGAAACAAAGTCAAGTACAAACCCAGTTCTGAACTCAAACCAGTTCTTAAAACAAAGCAGGAATGGGATAAGAGAAATAATTGAGCAGTTCCACCACTGATTTCAGTGCTCAAGCCAAATAAATATCTCCATCCAAACGTGCTTTATAAAGTACTTTTTAGTAGCAGGAGACAAGTTGTAACTTGCTAGAAAAATCCAGATAATGGTAATTGATGACATTTATAAGGCAAACAGCAGTATTCATTCAAAAGGCATTTGCAATTTGGAAAACACCCTCTCCTTTTAAGCACATCAATTTTTAGTTATTATTGAGCAAACATTCCCCTCCAAAAAAAGTACCATAAAGATAATATCCAGAAGTAGATTTTTTTTTGGTTTTTTAAAATTTTAATTGAACTTTTTATGTGATTCCATTTTATCTCCTGTATATATTAATTATATTTTTTAAAAAGGTTTTTATTGGTTTCCCTAGGTTTGTACATTTCAACTAATTTGAAACCACTTTCAAATAACACTATATCACAGCATATGTGGTAGAGCTAAGGTAATTCACCACTCCTTTCCATCACTTACGAATTTGCTGTAATTCATTCCACTGATACTATAATCATCCAATACATTATTACTATTATTAACCTAATAGGTTATTATTTTTTAAAACTATTATTTTTTTAAAATAAAAGATTTTACTTTATCTTTATCTATTCCTTCTCCAATGCTCTTTCTTTTTTTTTCATATTTATTTATATATTTTTAATTTTTTTAATCATTTTTTAAATTTATTTTCAGCATAACAGTATTCATTGTTTTTGTACCACACCCAGTGCTCCATGCAGTCCCTGCCCTCTCTAATACCCACCACCTGGTTCCCCAACCTCCCCCCCCCCCCACCTCTTCAAAACCTTCAGATTGTTTTTCAGAGTCCATAGTCTCTCATGGTTCACCTCCCCTTCCAATTTCCCCCAACTCCCTTCTCCTAACTCCCCATGTCCTCCATGCTATTTGTTATGCTCCACAAATAAGTGAAACCATATGATAATTGACTCTCTCTGCTTGACTTATTTCACTCAGCATAATCTCTTCCAGTCCCGTCCATGTTGCTACAAAAGTTGGGTATTCATCCTTTTTGATGGAGGCATAATACTCCATAGTGCATATGGACCACATCTTCCTTATCCATTCGTCCATTGAAGGGCATCTTGGTTCTTTCCACAGTTTGGCGACCGTGGTCATTGCTGCTATAAACTTTGGGGTACAGAGGGCCCTTCTTTTCACTCCATCTGTATCTTTGGGGTAAATACCCAGTAGTGCAATTGCAGGGTCATAGGGAAGATCTATTTTTAATTTCTTGAGGAATCTCCACACTGTTCTCCAAAGTGGCTGCACCAACTTGCATTCCCACCAACAGTGTAATAGGGTTCCCCTTTCTCCACATCCCCTCCAACACATGTTGTTTCCTGTCTTGCTAATTTTGGCCATTCTAACTGGTGTAAGGTGGTATCTCAATGTGGTTTTAATTTGAATCTCCCTGATGGCTAGTGATGATGAACATTTTTTCATGTGTCTGATAGCCATTTGTATGTCTTCATTGGAGAAGTGTCTGTTCATATCTTCTGCCCATTTTTTGATATGATTATCTGTTTTGTGTGTGTTGAGTTTGAGGAGTTCTTTATAGATCCTGGATATCAATCTTTTGTCTGTACTGTCATTTGCAAATATCTTCTCCCATTCCGTGGGTTGCCTCTTTGTTTGTTGACTGTTTCCTTTGCTGTGCAGAAGCTTTTGATTTTGATGAAGTCCCAAAAGTTTATTTTGGCTTTTGTTTCCTTTGCCTTTGGAGACATATCTTGAAAGAAGTTGCTGTGGCTGATATCGAAGAGATTACTGCCTATGTTCTCCTCTAGGATTCTGATGGATTCCTGTCTCACGTTGAGGTCTTTTATCCAGAGGTAGATTTTTGTGGACATGGTTCTCTCAGTACAACTTTCCTTTATGACCTACCCCATGAACATTACCTTAACTTCAAACCTTAAAATTCAGTTCAATGGATTTACCCTACATTGGAGTGAATGCTCGTGCATGCCTTCAATTATTACTCCATTACTTCTAACCTATTGGTTGCCTATAATTGGAGGTGTAAATTTCTGTGTATTCACATGTAACTTCAGGGATAGCAGGACAGTGGATCTCTGAGAATATATAATATCACAGACTATCACTTTCATGACAAAAGGCCTTTAATGATGATAATTAAAATTTTTCATTTTTTGTTTCATTTGTTTCACAGGATTATACACTCACCATGTATTTCCAGCAGTCTTGGAAAGACAAAAGACTTTCTTATTCTGGAATCCCACTAAACCTCACATTAGACAACAGGGTAGCTGACCAACTCTGGGTGCCAGACACCTATTTTCTGAATGACAAGAAATCATTTGTGCATGGGGTTACCGTGAAAAATCGAATGATCCGACTGCATCCTGATGGAACAGTTCTCTACGGACTCCGGTAAATGACTTTGTGTTGCATGGTTCACTATTATCATTGTTGTTCTTGTTGTTATGTTTTATTATTATTATTATTATTTTTACTTTTGGGAATGGGCAGCAGGAAGAAAAGCAAGTAGGAGAATATATAGACACGTTAATTTCTGTAACAAAATTATATTAAAGACCAGAAAATCTCTTTTGGAGAAAGAAAATCAATGGAGCTAAATCTAGGCAACTTTGTTCATCAAAGGTAAGTGAACTATTTGCCCTGAACTTCCAATAATAAACAGAGTAATAAGAAAATGTATGTTTGCCAGATTTTATACCTAACTTATTGTAGAAGTTCAATCTTTTTTTAGTTGATTGCTTGATTATTTCAGAGCCATCCAGGTTGAACTGAAATGTATTCTAAGTAGTGGATATAGCTACTTAATTATGAAAGAGAATTAGGAAACAATATCTTAAAGAAGTAGGAAAATATTTTGTGGTGACTTTGAGAAGATTCATAGTGTTTTCATTCCCTTAAATCCCTCTCTTAATGTTTGTATTTATGTATGTGATCCATATTGTTTGTGTTTCATGTAAGGCAAGGGTTGAGGTTCAATTTTTCCCATATGAATATCCAGTTGTGTAATTTACTGAAGAGATTCTTTTTTTCTCACCAGATTGTTTTTTGGTACTTTTGCCTGGATAAGTGGGAGTCTAGTTCTAAGCTCTACTCTGTTCCATTGTTCTATGTGTCTATCTGCAAACAGTATCACATTAATTATAATAACTATATGGTAAATCATAAAATCGTGTAAATCCTTCAACTTTGTACTTATTGTTTAATATTGCTATGGAAATTCTAGGCCTTGTGCTTCTTCCTATAGCATTTAGAATCAACCTTTGATTTCTACCCAAAAAGATCTGCTGAAATTGTAATTGAGATTGCCTTGACTCTATAGATCAATTTGGGGAGAATGAATATCTTAAAATTCTAATACATGAATATGATATACCTTCATTTATTTAGGTTGTCTTTAATTTATATCAAAATGTTTTGCACTATAGTGGATTTTATTTTGTTTATTTGGCTTTTTAAGACTCAAGTATAGAAGAGGTATCATATACTTGTGGTCTATTATTAACCCTCATTTTGTTAAAGGTTTATTTAAAATTTTAGAGCTATAATCCAAATCAGCTTCCCATTTTACCAAAGAAATACCTGAACAGTGGCATGTTATCGGAGGATATGTAGAGTGGTGGTTCTTTAACATGTATTGTCACCTTTCATAATCCCTTTGAGAAGCTGAAGAGAGCTATATTCACAAACTCATTTTCCCTTTATTTTAGAGTTTTCATAAGCCCCCTAAAATTCTTTGCATGCCTTCCACACCAAGTTAACATTCTAGGTAAGGGATAAAATGCTACAATTTCTGTTCATTCATGAATATCCAAAAACAATATGCAAGTGAAAACAACTGCACTTTTTTTCTGCACTAAGTTCTGCACTAAAACTTCTGAACTTAACCCAGTGATTGATTATTTAGTTGATAGATTTGGAGTTCATTTGCATAATAAAACAGCATTAGTTGCAAAATAATATTTGTAATTTCTCCACTTTTTCAGTACCCCAAGAGCTTTCAATTCTAGTTTAAAATCTCTGACCTAAAAGTCTCTCAGAAAAAATGGTAAAATAAACCAACAATTCCCATGAGTGTATTGATACTTACTGACAAAATCTACTAACTCAAGATCAGTGGTGATCATTAACGATGATGCACACACTGGAAATCATTTGTAATTTTTTGTCATCTATGAAACTTTTATTGGATATAACCAAGGTATAATGGGACAAATTACTCTTCTAAAATATTCTGGGAGAATAATTCCATAACCCAATTTAGTAAGCTTATCAATTACATGTATAATCACTATATGTGATTAATAAAGAATGTATAAAAAGTTGTTTTTGTTTGAAAGAAAAAAGAACCATGTTTTTTACAGGCAAGAAAGTGGGTTGTATTCTCAGTTTACAGTGTCATTTCAGGCATTTCTCAGATTATTGGTAGCCTCTACCAATGGGAATTGATGGAAAGGAAGAAAAATATTTGAGGACCATGAAGTTGAACACACTTCATTATAAACTGATAAAACTGAGGCACAAAACAGGAAGGGCCTTTTCTAAGGGCACAAGAAAGTAATGGCAGAATTGGGACTAAAATCCAGGTACCCTGATTCCCATATGTGTGCTTTTCCTACCCCACTGCCTTTCAAACACATTTAGAAGTCAACACCTCCTATCAAGTTGTACAACATTGCTTTCTCCTCTTTGGAGCCAACATAGGCTTGGAGCCCCCAAATGGATCTCCCAAGGAAAACACAAATCCTTCCTTTATTATGTGGACTCTGGTCTGTTTTTGACAGCAGCATTCTCTATAAGAGCTTCACACCATTTCTGGTATTTCTCTTCCCTTGTCTTCTTTCCTACCTCTTCCCTCACAGGTTTGTTTTTCTTTTCCTGGAGGTTATAAACATCCTGGAGAAACCATAAGATACAGCAAAGAAAGCATAACACCTGGAGTCAAAGGACCAAAAATAGGCTCAAACTCCAATATCTCTGATTGTTTGACCTTGAACAACTTATACAAATTTACTGAGTCTTAGTTCTATCATCTGCAGTAATGGATTAATAATCCCTGGTACATTCTTATGAAATAATGATTATGTTAATACATGGTAAATTTAAATTATATTTTTCTAAAGTCATTGTGCCTTATATAATAGCCTTATCAGGTGATGGAAAAACTGCACATGGAGGGTGATTCTCTAATTCCCTGGGGCGTCAGTAGTCAGAACAGAGATACAGTTGTCCAATTAAAAAAAAAAAAAAAAATCCGGGGCGTCTGGGTGGCAGCCCAGTCAGTTAAGCATCCAAGTCTTGGTTTAAGCTCCAGTCATGATCTCAGGGTCTTGAGATCAAGCACTATATCGGGCTCCATGCTAAGTGGATAGTCTGTTTGAAACTCTTTCCCCACTCTCTCCATCCTCCTATGCCCTTCCCCCTTCTCACCCAGTGCTCGCTCGCTCTCTCTTTCTCTCTTCTTTGCTCTCTCCCTCTCTCAAAGTAAATAATTAAGAAAACATTCATTGAGTGCCCAGTCTATGCCATATGCTCACTATTATGGACCTGGAAATAATTCCTCAGAAGCCTGATAGAAATTTGTCATTGTGACAGTGACTATGGATTAGAAGACTTGCAGCTGGACTAGATTGTGCTCCTCTGTAAGCTATTTCCTCCTCTAGGCTTCAGATCTCTCAGTCTTAAAGGGAAGAGATTGCATAAAATTATCCCTAAATTCCCTTCCAAAACTAACATCCATTGCTTCTATGGTCCTATATATTCAGGCATGTTTATTTTAATTCTTCTGATATAACACTTCCTAGTCTTAGAAATGACAATCTGCATTTTTTCTTTGTAATTGCCTTTTCAAGAATAACTGTCATATATTACTTCCTAAGCACATGTACTAGAAAAGCCTTATCATATAACATATGCATTGGCATATTCATAGCTATGCTTATTTTAGAGTTGGATAATGAGGAGAAAGAAATCCTTGCCTTATCTCTTCCCGTAAGTCCAGCTGATAGTCATTATGAAATGAGACTATACACTAATGGGTTGTTTTTAGCATTGATGGGATCAGTGGGATTTTCTGAATGTACCTGAAAGCCCCTTTAACTGGGTATTCCATAATCACAAGACCATATCATTAAACTAAATAAAAATGTTTCTATATATTCAAACTCATTTTGAGATGCTAAAACAATGCCTATGAAGCCACAGGAATAGAATTGCTGGTTTTCTATTTTTGTCAACTATGTCAAATCAGACTTGACACACAAGGAATGCCACACAGTTGTGTTAACACTTTAAAATAATGAAGTGGTGTCTGATAGGAGACTAGTGCTTTTGCAGGAGCCAGGCTTCTGTGCAACAGGCACTCAGCACATAGAAGAGACTCCATTCCTTGAGCTTTTTGCTCCCAGGTTACTTCTGCTGTGACAAAATGCATTATACCACGGAGCAACATCGCAGTCACTATTACTTCCTCCTCCATTTTGCTCGAGATCTAACTAAAAGATGTCTAAGATGTGGCAGGAGACCAAAACTTACGTCCATGTCCCATGACTGCTCCACCATGCTCCTTTCAAAACACATAACGGCATTTCTTTTCTTACTTAAAAGTGGAGACTAAACAACCAAATTCTTCAGAGTCATGCATCAAACCCTTAATCTTCTGTTTTTCCTCCCTTCCATTTAACTCCTCCTCTTTTGAAGGCCAGTCTCTCCACATAGGCATTTAACTTCATTGCTGCACACTCTTTTCAGACTTTGCTCCCTTCTTTTAGCAGATCTTCAGTCTTCAACCTCACTGGCTCCTTCCCCTTGGTTTTGTCCTCAAACACCAGTCCTCTCACATCTCACATCTTTGGTTTCCTCTACTCCCTCACTATTTATTTACTCCTCAGTCTCCAAAACCATGACTCCACTCGTGCTACTTTCCTGAAACAATTCTCTCCAAAATTACCAGCACCACTGTTGTTGCTTTTCAATCCATACTCTTGAGTTCTCTGAATGATTTGAGCGGTGACTGACCTTGACTTCTGGATTTCCAAGACTTGGTGTAGTTTTTTCATTATTGCTGTTCTTCTGGTCCTTTTCCCCTTTCTTCACTCATTCCTTTCTTGCCTCTAATGGTGAATTAGAAGGATTCCTTGAGATTTTACCAACTCACTGATGTGACAGCTTATATATCTAAAATTCCAAATTATTGAGTTCAGAAAAATATTTTAATTGCTTCCTGAGCATCTGTATCTGGATGCCCACCTGGCCAGTTCCTCCTGACATGACCCCTGTTTCGTAGTATCTGGTTTTTTTTTTTTTTTCCTAAAATCAGGTTCTCCTCCTTATACAGCTGCGAACAAAAATCGTCATCTGCCAAGTCAATAGGAATAAACTTGTAGGTAGTTTTG